TTTGGAGATGATCTCACTCTAGGAAAGGGAGAACACGCGTTGGCAGAGGATATGAAAGTGAAACGCGAGGAGGCGGCGGGAAGATAGGTATTGAAAGGAGGCGGTGAGAAGAAAGGTAGCTAATGGAGAAGACGGGAAGAAAGGTAGCCAAGGGAGAAGGCGCGCAGTCGGGCAGGCGGGCAAGCGGGCGGAAGGTGGCAGGAAGGAAGGTGGCAAAGGGAGGGAAACGTGGACAAACTTCATCAAAGATAGTTTTTTTTTTTTTTTTTTTTTTTTTTTAAGACATCTGCATGCCTTCTGGCGAGGGTTTTGCTAAGCGTATGTTTCACGACAAAGGGCCTTGCTACCCTAGTTTGCAAATGTGAGCTAGATGGTGGAAAGATACATGCCGATTTTTTTTCGTTTTCGAATCTTGAGAGTGGTGGACCGAGGCCCAAAGCGTGATCTAGCAAGGCTTCTGGTTCAAGAGTCTTGTATCAACTTCGCTGTGGTTCCTATTTCTAGTACAGACAAATGTGCCAGACGAATGTGCCTTCCTTGCCCTATCGTTTGAATGTCAGTAAATGAGAGAGGATGAATTCGTCAACTTTGACAGGTAGGTGTGTGTGTGTGTGTGTGTGTGTGTGTGTGTGTGTGTCACATTCCCTCTTCCTTGCCCGGCGAACGACAAACCCAGCAGCCTGAGGAGGAAAATAGAGTCCCATTTGAACTGCATGCAGTGCACGGTACAGGAGGGCTTACACCACCGGGGCGAAATGTTGCGGACCAAATCCTGCAGCAGCTCGATGCCCTTGTTCTGGCTGACCCCCTCCCACCACCGCCGTTGTCATCTGCCCATAGAGAAGGACTCAATAATGAGGGAACCCAAGACGCCTTCTCAATGCCGCTCTGTGATGATCCACCTGAGATCCGGTTGCCATGTGGGTTGCATGCATTGTGTCATGAGGATTATGAAGGCACAGCTCGTGCGAGTTTTTGTTTTCATACGTATGATGACCGCCAATATTGTACTCACATACGGCACCCTGACATATCCTGTCCAATTTGTAGACAGGGAATCGAACGGCAATGCCTCTACAATTGTGGCCGGCGCGCCTGTGTTCCTAGCATGTGGGGCCCACGTGGCCTGTGACATCTGCCTACGCCGAGCCATTCGCTGCATCAACTGTGACTGCCAGACTTGGATGCGATGCTTCCACAGTCCACACCCGAACTGGTGCTGTCCGCTCTGTAGGGGTGGCCCCTTACCATAGCCCAAGGGTACTCCCTAACACAAAATCTCCAACAGCCTGAATACTGACTGACCTCTCATGTCATTCTAAGATTGCTCTCTCTCTCTCTCTCTCTCTCTCTCTCTCTCTCTCTCTCTCTCTCTCTCTCTCTCTCTCTCTCTCTCTCT